ACCCTTACCGGTCAAATCGGTTGACCCACGGGATGACCCTTCTTTTGATGCACTATTGGAACAACTGATATCAGATTGAGAAAATGAAAATTTTTTTACTCAAATTTGGTGAAAAAAATACTAAACCGTTGGAGATGCTCTAACAACGCCAAATTTGCTAACAAATTTGGTTAAAATAACTTAAAGCATTTTCAATGGTGTGCTATATGGCATACTATTACTATATTTTGCATCGAAGCCTCCAAATTTCGACTCTAATGGCAAGTCATTTGGCTTGCTGTAAAGCATCTCCAATAGGTAAAATGAATAGTTAAAGTCATAATTTAACAATGAACAATGTAAAATAGCAATAGGATAACAATGTTGCTCCAATGGTTAAATTGCTATTTTTCAGCTTAACAAACTTTCGGGTGATCGTCCAGGCAATCGTTCAAATTGGCAACTTTAACAAATATTCAGTGGTCACCCGGACAGTTGTTCAAAATTTGTTGCCTGCCTCTTTATTTATTGTACTTGCAACTTTAGCTATTGATAAAACTTGTGTCAAATTTGACACGAGATAGCAATTGCTATTTTTAGTAGCTCTAATACTTGACTGTTGGAACACCAAAATTTTCCACACCTAATATATTTTGCCTTCAGCAACCCATTAGCAAACCGTTGGAGATGCTTCCAAGCCATATATTACCTATAAGTGAACATAGTGTTAAATATAGCCAAAATAAATAAATAAAAATAATCAGTGTGTTTGGTTTGGGTTTTTTAGATTAAGTTTTTTGAAAATTAAGTTTTTTGATTTTTGTGTTTTTTTGCTTTTAGTGAATATTTTTAAAATTTTAAACATTTTTGTTTACTTTTTTAGATGCACCTTACTTAGATGTATCTAAAAAGTAAAAAATTTATGAAAAAATATTTTAAAAAATTAATAAATACAAAAAAATACAAAAAATGTACTGAATTCTCGGTTTTTTTTTTGTATTTTTGTATTTTTGGTATTTAATGAATTTTTAAAAAGTTTTTTTTCACAATTTTTTTGCTTTTTAGGCATATTTATGTTAGGTATGTCTAAAAAGTCAAAAAAATTACTTAAAATATTAAAAAATTCAATAAAATAAAAAAAAAATATATGAAAAATAAGAAAGTAAAATTTTTTGACAAGTGTTTTTAAAAATTGTAACCAAACAAAGTGAATAATATTTGTTTACCTAGCTAAAACTTTGTATCTATATCTCCTTAGGAACCTACATATAGCATTTTAATTTAATTTAACATTTCGTGAGAAAAATTGATTTTTTTTACATTATACGATTGGAGTAAGATTGTTAAAATCAAACATTTCAACACTATTCATTGCTAAAGAATAACAATAAATATCTCTTTACCTATCGAATCATTAAAGATGTTCTATATTGTCAAAATTTAGAACGAGTTATAGTAATACATTCGAACTGTGTTTTTGGACAGCTTTACCAAAGATTAATACTTCATCCCCCAATTTCCACAATCCCCCTCCCCACGCACACACTCTCCCCCAATGATGTGACGAATAAGAAAAATCTGCCAATCAATTCTCTTCAAACTCTTTTCTTTCATTTCAAAATTGTTTACTATACCATTAGGGAAAAATTGGAGCCTTGTAAATTGCTAATGGCAAGTCATTGGCCAAATCAATGGAAATGCTCTTAATTTGTATATTATTTTCTTAAACAAAGTAAGCATGTATTTTTTCTATAATATCAGGTTATTATAAGTAAAAGACATATTACAACAGTTATATGCAAACAAAATTATCCAGAAAAGGTGTTTATAAAAGTACACTTGTAAATTACAATTATTTATTATTTTGACTGTGAATTATATTTTGTAAATCACAATTATTTTAAAAGTGACTTACATCTCATAAATTTTAAATTTAATTTTTTTGATGATTGAGTGTTTGAACCAGTTTACGTGTATCTCAGCTAATCTCAAGAATCACGTAAAGTGTTTTCTTCACGTGGATTGGGCAAATGTCGGGCAGAACTTACGGGGTGTGACCCCAAAGAATTAATCATTTTGCTTGGTTTGAGTTTTTTAAAAACACTTTTCAGAAAATTTTACTTTCTTATTTTTTGTATTTTTTTGTTTTTACTAATTTTTTTTATTATTTTAAGTATTTTTTTTTTAACTTTTAGATCCACCTAACATAAATACTCTTAAAAATAATTTTTTTTGATTTTTTTTTTAAAAATTCACTAAATACCAAAAATACAAAAAAAAATGAAAATTCAATATATTTTTCATATTTTTGTGTATTTATTAATTTTGTAAAATATTTTTTTATAAATATTTTACTTTGAAGACACATCTAAGTGAAATGCATCTAAAATAGTAAAAAAATGGTTAAAATTTTAAAAATATTCACTAAAAATAAAAAAATACGAAAAACAAAAAGCTCAAACCACAAACACTGAGTAACAGTGAAAGTTGAAACTGAGGGCTAGTTTGGCATGTTTGGAAAAATTTAAAAAGTCACTATTCTATTTAAGTCACATCATCTTATTTAAGTCACATCAATTCTCTCTCACACCACTTCAAACCCAATCCAAACCCAACACTTATTTAGATCATTCCAAACAAGTACACTCTTAGATCTCAAATTGCACACCCAACTCTCTTTAGGTTAAATTTTAAATTTATTGTACACATTTTATTTTATTTTTGGTATAAATAAAAAAAATGATTGTATATAACATTTTTTTGATAAAAATTTTAGACAAATTACAAACACCCCCTTGAGATTTGGTGAAAATACAGATTTCCCCCTGAGGTTTGAGAAATTACATCCCACCCCCTGAGATTTATATTTCCATAACAAATTGTCCCCTGAAGTTTTTATTTTCATACAGATTTTCTTCTAATTTTTTTTAATTTATCATGAAAATTTAACTTTTAAAAAATAATTTATAATTTTTCAAATCTAAAGAAAAATTTAGGCTGTGTTTGGTTGTGCTTTTGAAATGTGATTCTACATGCTAGTTTCAGCTCCATGTTTGGTAAGAGTTCTGGAATTAATTTTCCAAAACTCTGCCGAAAGCTCTGTCCATTCTGCGCGTTTCTTGTATTTTTTTTGGCCAGGGGAAGACCGCCCGGTTGTCCCTAGGGACTACCACCCGGACGTCCTTGGGGACATCCACCCGGATGTCCTCTGTTGTACAGATTTTATTTTATTTTATTTTTTTTTGCAATTGATTTATATAATTGGGAAAATTATTTTCTGAAATTTTTTTAATTTTTAATGTGCTTTAAAATAATTTTGAGTTATATGTTTAGTTAGGAGTTGTAAATTTTTGTATCACATATCAAATATCACATCAACAACTCCCCACTCAAATCAAACCTCTTTTCCAAAACTATTTTCAAAACTCTTTACCAAACAAATTTTCTACACTCAAATCATAATTCTACAATACACAAACTCAAAATACAACTCATACTCTCAAATCACATTTACAAAACACAACCAAACGCAAGCTTATATTTTTAGCAAAGGTCGAGCGCGTTTATAATTTGCCCATAAAATTTCAAACTCACTGTCAAATCCAGGCTGTCGAATGTTACGAAGAATATTCCCATCCCATGGACTCTTCCATTGGGACAACGGCGGCAATTTTAACAGGTGCCGTGTTCCATTTGCTATTTTTGTCTAAATTATTATTTTTTTTTTAATAATTACCCGTCAAGGTTTGAAAGTTATTAAATTATTTATCTATTTTTATTATTTTTGATATTTTAAGATATTGTTTATTCATAGTTGTGTGTTTTTAATTTTTTTTTTGAAGATTTTATCTATAATAAATGGTTGATATCTTTTATTTTATAATTTTTTTATTTATGAAAATACTTTATTTATTTATTAGATTAAATTGTACGAGTACTGATAATAGACCAACAATTTAAAAATAAAAGTGTTTACATGATGAAATTGGATTTTGTCAAGATTGTGAGTGGCCCATTGAGCTTGAAATAGGCTTCACTTCAAAAATTGCTTCTATATTTGTTAGATCTTAGTGTGTTTATTGTTTTGATAAACCTAATTACATGATTTTAGTAATTTTTGGAAACACCATAAATAAGTTATTTATTAGTTTATTTAAATCACATTATTTTTCTATTTTAATTTTTTTTATAATAAGCCGAAAAATCATCTTATAAACATACCCAAAACAACCCTGTGTTAAAAAAAAAAAGTTAACATTTTGCTTTTAAATTATAAGTCATTTTTGTTAGTTAAAGATAATTATGGTGTGTTTGAAAAGTTGGTTGAACTAATTTTTTTTTTCGGCTAAAATAGTTAATAAAGGTAAAATAAATTAAAATAATTAATAAGATAAAATGTCACATTCAAATTATAATTATTTCATTTTTTATCTTACAATCATCAAATTAACTACAAAAAAAAACTACCATCCAAAATATAATTTTTTTAACTAGACTAAAATAATCAAAAAAATCAACTAAAATGAAATTTTTTTATATGCTAACAGGATACCACGTGATACTATCTTCCATCAATTACAAATATATATGCCCTTTATTACTTTCCAAACATCCAACATAAATATAGTAAAATCTATTGTCAAAGTCAATCACAACAGTAAAATGAACCACATATACTCTATCTGGATACAAAAATTACTTAACTAAAGTACTCAAGTTTCTATATTAGTCCTATGATAAAATTATGTAACTACATTAGCCAAACTAATTTTATTTTTTTCATAAATTATCTACCTACCAAATCTAAGTTCGTTATATCCGAACCCGACTTGAGAAACTGCAAAAACCGATTGAAGGTTGGTATATCCGAACCCGACTTGTACCCATACTAGATGCCGGAATTAAAAACACGTTTTAAATTAATCCACGCAAGCAAAACAAAATGCCATCGCTCAGCTGCTGCGACTCGGTGAAACGAAAACACACACCACATACCAGCGCACGTTAGGAACACCCCCTGCCAGCCCGCCACGTAAAGCGATGGGCACACAAATTCATACAAATATCCAAAACAGTGCTCTTTGATTTGACCACGCGACGGAACAGTGCGAACCCAACACGTACTGCGCAAGTTATCTCCCTCCATTTCGACTTTTCCTTTTCTTCCCCTTCTATCTTCTCTCTTCTCTTCTCCATCGCAGAACCAGTTTCCACGGAGAAAGTACACACAGTTTTAACCTAATTGTTTCGCTTACTCGAAGGTAATTATCCTTATCGTCAATCTTTTCAAATTAATTTTATTGTTTATATATTGAACATTTGGGAATTTCGTCGTTCGTGAATTTGCGAGTTTGCTAGGCAATTGTAAGACTAGGGTTAGTTTTGATTTTGAAGTTTTCTGTTTATTAATTTCTGAATCACCGAAGCTTTGTTTCGTTGTTGAGAAACTGTAAAAGAGAAAGTAAAGAAAATTAAGTTTCTTAATCCGTATGTATATTAGTTAGGGTTAGGCCGAAACAAAACAAAAAAAACTGATCTATTCTGACCGTAAATTGTTCATATCTTTTGTGAGAAGAGAATTTATCAGAGAACATAATAATCAGGTTTTAGTTTTTTATTTTTATTTTTATTATTATTATTTTTTTTGGGGGGGGGAGGGGGAATTAACAGGTGGTATGGAGAAGTTATTTGTTGGTCATGGGATATAGTTATGTGATGTCTCAGATGTGTTGTGATTAGTGGAAGAGATGCGGTGTATAATTTTGTATTAGGTGATTGAGGAATAGCTTTTTTTTTTTTTTTATATATTTATTTTATAGAATCTAAAAAAACTAATGCGATTGTTAATTGCTAATTTTTTTTTGGTTAATGGGAAAGTTGAGTGGATCCTTACTTTTTTAGCTGAAACAAACAGAAGACTTTTGCTTTTTGGCTTATTTAAAAAAAAACAGCTTCTGTAGAGTTTGCCAAACAAGTAGGTTGAGTTACTGCGATTCAGTTACGGAATCATACGACCCAGAAGGGAGATAGATTCATATACATGTATTTGGTATATACAGTGTCAGAGTCAGAATTTCTACTTGATCGAAGTATGAGCTAATTATCCATGATTGTTTTTCTTCTATAAAATTTAGTAGTACATGACCATAGCTCTGTTTGATAGGGCTTATTTCCAGTTTATTTCAGCTTTTAGCTTAATTTAAACTATTTTGATATGTTTGGTTCAGTTTAACAATACAGCTTATAACTTTTTATAACTTAAAAATTAACTTATTCTTTAAGTGGGGGTGGAAAAACTTAATTTAAAAGTCAAAAATCAGTTTATGTTCACAGTTATAAGCTATAATCACTTTCCCACAGCTCTACTAAACGGGGCCCATATATTGTGTGACTAATTTTATACAAAATTAACGAAAGTATTCCCTATACAAATTTGAACAAATTTCTTTTCTTCATAAAAATGATACGTTGCCATTGAATAAAATATTAACAAAATTGAAGTCAGCTTCATGGCAATAAAAAGCACTACCTATAATGTAACATACACAGAGAAAATATTGCCAAGGTTTGATTTTTGAACCACATATTGATACCTTGGTCCTAGTGCTGTGGGTAGTTCGTGAGATGGACATCATGTTGTTGGCTTGGCTACTTTATGGTTCTCTTGTTATTCTCTGAATTTTTTTATTTAAAACTTGGCAGATATTTATATATTTCATGTTAGCATAAAGTCGTTATACTCTTTGCTCCTTTGACAAGATAGGTCTGGGTTTGGAGTGAAGTTGTTTTCAAAGTCATTATGATACTGTACTCCTAGAGGCATTGCAGCTTTTACCGAAAATGGCTATTTCTGGTTCTTTGTTAATGTCCCGTGATTTGGGAATTCACAGTGATTATAGATACAATAACCGACCTAAGGTGCGTGATTTGCATGTCAAATGATACTTTTCTCACTAATTTTTGTATTGCTAGGATTACCAATGTGGATAATTTATTTGGTTTTTTCTTTGTTTGGTCTAAATGTTATTACAGGGTAGGATAGGCAAGGGCAGCTTACTGTTGTTCAGCTTTTCTCAATCATCACATGCTTTGGTATTCTTGTCTTTCAATTGGAAATCTTCTTTCCCTCTCTTTTTATTTTAAAAAACTTGCCAGTGTGTATATCTGTGTCACTTTATACTTATAGGCATTCATAGAAATGCACAGCAGTGAATGTTCTGCACCAATCACTGTATGGCATTTTGTGATGGCCTTTATCTGGTATGGCTTTCCAGATAGATTGTATACAGCATACATCATTTGAAAGTTTCAAGAGATTTGAGCTTCTGATGTGCTTACATTCTGCAGCTTAGTGGATTTAATATAACCTTGTTGATGTGTTTACATTCCAATGGTGCCTCTTGAATATGACCTTCGAAAAATATTGACATGAGTTCAAAAACAGGTGGATGCCAAATTGGTGTGCTCCCTTTATATATGGGGATAGATTAGTAAGTATAGATATGGCTATGCATTAGAAGTATGCAAGTTTGACTTAAATGGTTGTTTAGCAGTATTTTTTTATTTATAAATTTAAACACTAAGGCCATGTTTGTTTGGGCGGACTGGATTAGGTTGGATTAGCATTCCCATGACTAATAATTCTAGGACTACAAATTCTTTGGATTGTGTATCCTATCCTATATTTGGATTGAGTTAGGATTCTAAGAAAGGATTAACAAAATATTATCCAATCTGATGTTTGTTTAAGAGGATTGGAATATATTGGACATAGGACACCCAATATATTGACCATAATATCTCTATTATAGTCATTTGATAAGTTAGTCTAGACTTTGACTTAGTCTCCCAATTTATATCTCACCCTCTATGTGGGATTGAATAGTCCATCATATGTGAAAAATCATATCCGGATGGATTATTAGTCCATATTTCAAGTTTTTAACCAAACACCGGATTAATAATTTTATTGGACTACTAGTCCAATCCCAAGCACATATCTGACCAAACAAACATGGCCTAATTATGTTACCAAGCTCGACCTTATTTTGGAAGATTTTTTTCCAGACTAAGAGTTGGTTTTTTTCATAGTTTTATTCTCTTAGTTGAAGGTGGTTTAGTGCATTATTTCAGCAGCCTATCACTTCAATATTTCAAAGCTCTTTTAGCAAGTTAATACCTTTGGAATAGGTGTTATTAACCAAACCAAATCTTCAGTCCCGTCAAATAAGGTCGACTATGTGAATCCTTCTTCTTCACGCGGCCCTATCAAAGGCCATTTCATTAGTTAAATTAAGTAGATTCATATCTCTATTTATAACGCTAGCCAACGTTAATCTAGGCCTATCCCATCCTCCAACACTCCCACCTACTGTTATAGTATCACATCTCTTCACTACTGCATCTATTGGTCTCTGTTAAATGTGACCAAACAGTCTCAATCGATTCTCTTTCAACTTATCTTTTATCAGTGCTACTCCTACCCATTCCCGAATACACTCATGCCTAATTCTGTCTTATCTAGTCTTGCCACGCATCCACCTGAGCATCCTCATCTCAGCCACACTCATTTTATATACATGTTGTTTCTTGGTTGCCCAACACTCCGTCCCATACAATATCGCTGGTCTAATAGTCGTTCTATAGAACTTACCTTTTAGTTTAGTGGGAATTCGTTTATCGCACAGTACCCCAAACGCACTTCTTCACTTACACCATCCCGCCTTAATCCTATGGATCACATCCACATCAATCTCCGCCGTTGTTGCGATAATCGACCATAAATAATGAAAATGTTCACTCTTAGGCAGTTCTTGGTCCTCAATCTTCACTTCTCCTCTGTTTTCATTGTTACTATTACTAAATTTACACTCCATGTACTCTGTCTTAGTTCTGCTTATTCGAAATCCTTTAGATTCAAGAGTTTTTCTTCAAATCTCTAACTTTGTGTTAACTCCTTTTTTAGTCTCATCTATTAGCCCAATATCGTCTGCAAAAAGCATACACCATGGCACGCCATCCTGAATATTTCTCATCAACTCATCTATAACTAAAGCAAAAAGATAAGGACTTAACGTAGATCCTTTGTGTAACTCTACAGTGATAGGAAATTCATTTGTCCCTCCAACAGGTGATCTAATAGTGGTCACCACCCTTTCATACATGTCCCTAATCACATCAATGTAACCTTTTGTCATCCCTTTTTTCTCTAACACCCACCATATTATATCTCGGGACACTCTATCATATGTTTTCTCAAAGTCGATAAACACCATATAAATGTCTCTTTTCTTTTCTCTATATTTTTTTATTACTCTCCTCAAAAGATAAATCGCTTCCATTGTTGACCTGCCAAGCATAAACCCAAATTGATTCTCTGACACCTCTGTTATATCTCGCAATCGGCTTTCCATCACCCTCTCCCACACTTTCATTATATGACACATTAGTTTGATTCCTCTATAGTTGTTGCAATTCTGGACATATCCTTTATTTTTATAGATTGGCACTAAAATACTATTCATTTACTCATATGGCATGTTCCTAGTCAACAAAATTTTGCTAAACAACCTAATCAACCAAGCAACTCCTTTTTTACCCAAACACTTTCAAGCTTCAATAGGGATATCATTGGGTCCTAAAGTCTTATTTAATTTCATCTTTTTAAGTGCAATCTCCACTTCAAAGTTTCTAATCTTACGATAGAACCTATAGTCTTGGTTTATTGTATTACTGGCTATTTTTTCCCCTATTGCCGTACCTCCATGTTCCTCATTTAATAGTTTCTGAAAATAGTTCTTCTATCTTTCTTTAATCTCTTCCTCATACACCAATACCTTAGAATCCTCACTTTTGATGCACTTAACTTGATTGAAATCTCTTGTTTTCCTCTCCCGTGGCTTAGCAAGTTTGAATACCCTCTTTCTCCCTCCTTACTAGCTAGTCTAGTGTATAGGTCATCATAAGCTTTCAACTTAGCCTCTCTCACCACTTTTTTGACTTCCTTATTAGCCAATCTATAACTCTTACGATTTTCCTCAGTTCTATCATTCTGTTGCTTTTTAAGGCACTCTTCTTTTACCTTAACTACCGCTTGAACCTCTTCTTTCCACCACTAAGTTTCCCTAGAGCTGAGTCCTGTCCCTTTTGACTCTCCAAGCACTTCCCTTGTGATTCTCCTCATACAATTGGCCATCGAGTTTCACATAGTGTTAACATCATCTTCTAAGTCCCAAGTACCTTCCTTATCTATTCTATTATTAAATATTTCTAGTTTATTCCCTTTTAGGTCCCACCATCTCGTCCTACGACGCCCACCATCCTTCCTAGCTTGGTATTGCCCTCTAAAACATAAATCTAGTACCAAAATCCTATACTGAGAGGCCAGGCTCTCTCTAGGAATCACCTTACAATCATTGCATTTTAGGCAGTCTACTTTTCTTACTAAGAAGTAATCTATTTGGTTCTTAACTGTAGGTCCCACCATCTCGTCCTACGACGCCCACCATCCTTCCTAGCTTGGTATTGCCCTCTAAAACATAAATCTAGTACCAAAATCTTATACTGAGAGGCCAGGCTCTCTCTAGGAATCACCTTACAATCATTGCATTTTAGGCAGTCTACTTTTCTTACTAAGAAGTAATCTATTTGGTTCTTAACTGACCCACTCTTAAAGGTTATCAAATGCTCATCCCTCTTTTTGTACATAATATTGACCACCACCAGGTTAGAAGCCAATGCAAAATCTAAGATACTCTCTTCAGCCTCATTTCTGTCATCAAAATCGTATCCACAATGCACCATTTCATAACCTAGTTTATCTATGCCTACATGGCCATTAAAATCACTTAGAAAATATGAGGAAGAAGAACTCCGAAAATATGAGGAAGAAGGAATATATTTCTGTTATATTCAAAACTTCTTATTTTACAAGACCAAATGACACTCCTTATATAGGAGATATTACAAACATCATTATAACCCATTATATGCCACTTACATATTATATATTACCACTATCTACCACTATCTACCACTATCATATTATATACATGCCACTATCTACCACCAACATCACTATCATATTTTATACATGCCACTAGCTACCACCAACACCACTATCATATTCTATACATGCCATTATCTACCACCAACACCACTATCATATGCCACTATCTTATTATATGCATTAACACAAATTTCCAGCAGGAAGGCTGATGGTTCTCTTCCTAGAACAATGCTGCGTTTCATGAAATGGGTTTTAGGAAATCCTTCACAAGCAATCCTAGCCACAGATTGAAGATTTGGTGTTTTATTGTGTGATCTACTCACAAGTAGTCAATTACCTAGAAGAATAAGTAATGAACTTATCATTTTGCATAAAAACACAACCCTAACGCTTATGTGAAGCATCACTCACTGCAAACAACAAGCCCTTCAATACCAAATGGAAGAGATGATGTAGGACCTGATGCTAACCTGTTCTTTAGGTCTTGGAAACTCTGTTCCTTTTCATCAGTCAATTCGAAAGATGTTATTTTCTAAGTCAATTGTGTCAACGGAATAACAATCTGGGAGAATTCCTTCACAAACCTCCTGTAATACCTAACTAACCTCAAAAAGCTACCAACCTCTGCAACGTTTTTTTGGCTTTGGCCAATTCATTATCGTTTGAATCTTTGGAGGGTCAATTGAAATTCCTTTTATCACTAATAATGTAACCTGGAAATGAAATAGTAATGAGCCAAAACTCAATGCTTTTTCAATTTAGCATACAATCTCCTCTTTCTCAAAGTTTGTTATGTGCCTTTCAAATGTTGTTCATGCTCTACAAGATTCTTTGGGTACACTAAGATATCATCAGTGAACACAATAACAAACTCATTCAATTATGGTTCAAACACCCTATTCATTAAATCCATGAAACCTATTGGTGCATTTGCAACTCCAAATAGCATTACTAAAAATTGATAATGATCTTACTGAAGATTTTAGAGAAGAGAAAGAGTTGGAGAGAATGAGGGTGACCTCATCCTCTTTTATATTAAGAATAAAGCATAATTACAGGAGTGCCATAAAGCAAGAATTATAGG